TCACAGACTCTCTGGCAGTCAAAACAAACCTGAGGAGGAAAGGTCTTCACCTTGATGTTATCTGCTCTTTGGACAGATGAGAAACATCAGAGGCTCGCATTCAATTATCAACATATATACTCTGGTGGCTCTAGAAAACACGCGACCTCAACCTCTTCCAAAACACACTCATGCCAATCCATTTGGTTCTCAAAGCTTCTCAGCAGGACTGCATATATTATTTTTGCATTCACTCGGGCAGGAGTTGATCTATTTATTGCTTTTTAGTTTTCTTTATTGGTTGTTAGTTGTTGTGTTGGTTGGATTTTGGTTGCTTGTAGTTGCTTTAGTTTTACTTGGTCATTTCTAGGCCGCAGGGCAGTGGAGTGATGTTTTTGTTTCTTGTTTTGGTTTCTTGTTGAGGCTCTAGGCCGCTCTATGCGTGTCCTCTCAATTTTCTTTTATTTCGGGTTTGGCCTGTACTATTCGAACTTTGTTCGTTTTGAGTTTTATATAATATCTATCGTTTTGTCAAAAAAAAAACCACTGAAAACAAAAGACACACATCGAAAGAAAACACACAAAAATAGACTACTAGAAAGAACGCTATCCCCACCAACCAGATAAGCACCCAGAACTTTCGCCACCCAACCGACTCCAAAGCGGAATACTGAAGAGACTCCAAACCACCAACCTTAAAATACAAGGGTCGAGAAATGCCCCCTACGACTAACTCGATCCCAGAACAACATACCATGAACCTTCCCCCGGAAGACCACCACAAATAACTCCGAGAGACATGTCCTCCCCTCCACTTCAATCAGCTTCTGCGGCCCGAGGACTACAGTCACTGATAGATGTTTATTGTGTTTTTGTGCATGTTTTTATGTATTTTTTGTGTGCTTTCGAGTCGATTTTAGGTTTGTTTTAGTGTCAACCGGTCCATTTTGTCGTTTATCGTGTGTTTTATGTTTTTTTTGTGATTTTATATTTTGGCGTACTTTTCCGTGTTTTTGGGTATGAATTTTAGGTTTATTCCTGGGATAGAGAGAGTGAGAGTCGAGTCATATTTTGAGAGAGTCGAGCATTTCCCGAAGAAGTCGAGTTTCTGAGAAGTTTTGAGCCATTTTGTACGAGACATTTTCACCTCCGAGAGTTCAGCGCCTTAGTAGATTCCGTGCCGAAAGTTGTCCAGCCGTGCCCCAGCACCTTGCACGCTAGGGAGCTCGCGCGTACGTCCGCGCCATTGAGATCCTCACCGCCCCAGCACCTCGCACGCTCACGAGCTCGCGCATACGCCCGCGACATCCAGAGTCTTGCTGCCCCAGCGCCCAACACGATCGCATGCTCGCGCACTCGCGCGTCTGTCCGCGATATCGCGAGCGTCTTCATGCTACCGCCCGCGCCCGTGCGAAACCCGCCGCGCCATCGAGAGTGCCCCGTTTCCCACGCCCACGCCCACGGATTCCTATGCGAGGTCGAGAGTGCGCCTGCCCCGTGCGTGACCGCGCGACCCCATGTACGCCATCGATCGCGTGCTCGCGAGTTTCGTGGCGAGATCGGGAGTGTCCTAGTAATCTGCATTTTTAAGTGTGTGTTTTATGATGGAGTATAAATACTTTTGAGCCTTTGCATTTTGGAATTATCTGGCTCATTATCAAAATTTTCCTTTTTTGGTTCTTAGCTTAAGTCTTTTATTTCTCTCTAGAGTAAGTTGTGGATTCTTGTTATATTTTCCGGTGACTTTTTCCAGTGATCTATCGTTTATGCAAAATTCTTATCTTTTTCTTCCGATTTTGATCGAGCATGCATTAAGGATGTGAGTACTTACTTTTAAGCCTTATAATCTCGATTTTCGTACTTACTTGCTATCTAGTGCGTAGAAGTAATTAAGGCTTGCTTGTTTATTGGATTTTTAGTAGCTCTTTTAGTTATTTTCGTTTCATTTTCTTTTGTGAGCTCGTTTATTATGCTTGGAGTTGGTTGAAGTGTTGATTGCTACTTGAAAAATCATGACTTGATGTTTAGCTCAGTTATTTCATAGTTAAGATTTCGATTTTGGCTCTTAAGCATGCTAAATGGAGTTCGTTTCTCTTATTTTCATTTTGTTGCTCTTGACTTTGTTTATCGGTTTAGAAGCTAGGGATTCATAGTTCGATTGCTTGCCTAATTGCTTGTTTATTCGCGTTCTCTAGTCGTAACTAGTTTCAAACCATCTCAAACCAAATTGATTAGAATGTTTAGGCTTTATTTTCCCTTTTTGTGATCTGAACATTCGAATAGTAAGTAAAGCTTCGAATAGCCTTCCTTCGAGATCGACCCCAGTCGGGTAACTCGGTTATCTTTTTACCCACCGCAAAACTTCACTAAACAAATGGCGCCGTTGCCGGGGAGGCGGCCCAAAACTACGACCTTAAGATCATCCATCTAAACCAACTTCCGTCATTCTATGGCCTCGCCCAAGAGGATGTCCTCAATTTTATCCGAGACTTCTATGCAACCGTCAACACATTTCCACTCCAAGGCCTAACCGAGAACCAACTCCGAATGAGGTGTTTTCCATATACATTGAAGGACCGAGCCAAAACATAGTTCATGACCTTGCTTCCAAACTCGCTCAACACGTGGGAAGCCGTTTATGAGAAGTTCATGGGCAAGTACTACTCACACCAAAAGACCACCGACCTCCGGACCCAAATTGCTAGCTTTAGCCAAAACGTGGGAGAAACCTTTCACGAGGCATGGGAGCGGTTCTAAGGGTACCAACTTCAATGCCCGCACCATCACTTTTGCCTCGGGGTGCCAAATCAATTTTTTTACGACGGGCTACACCAAACTCTCCAATATATGGTTGACCATGCGGCCGGAGGAGATATCGGGAGTCACACGGCCGAGGAGATTTATGAGCTTTATGAGATGTTGAGTGAAAATTCTCAAAAGAAGAGCGTTCGTAAGAGGATCCCCGTAAATGAGGCTACACCATCGACCGAGTATTCGAACGACGCCGTGCTTGCCAAGATAGCCTCGTTTGAGGAGGAACTCAAACAACTTCGGCTACGTGATGTGAAATCCACTCAAGTTGTGATGGCCGAGGTGTGTGGTTGTTGTGGCGAGACGGGGCATGGCGGCCATGAGTGTCCACGCTATATGGAGTCGGCTTACGATCCAAATCTAGAAGGATTCCCCTACGACATCAATGCTATCCAAGGGTACGCCCCCCGGGTCCAAAATGATCCATACTCGAACACCTACAATCCCGAGTGGTGAAACCATCCTAACTTCTCATGGAGGGACCCGAAAGCGGGGTATGCACCCCAACCAGCACCACAACAAGCCTATCCCCAACCTCAACAATATGCACCACCAAACAACCAACCACCATTTCAACTGAGACCCGAGTTCTAAGAGTACAAACCGAGACCCGAATTTCAAGGTTATCTACAAGGGCGTGGAGGATTTGTCCCGAGACAACCAATGCCACCTCCACCGGAGCCCGAAAAGGAGACTAAGGCAACTACCTCGGACCCTCGAATCAACAATATGGAGAAGTATCTTCAAAGCCTCGCTTCAACCGTGTCCACCCTTCATGAAACGGTTTAGGACGTACCTTCAATCCAAACTTCTCTCAAGTGCCTTGAGACACAAATGGAGCAACTAGGACGTCTATCGGTGAAATGCAAAAAAACCAACAAAAAGGATCGACTCCCGAGCCAACCCGAGCAAGCTTGGATCGACTCCTACAAAATAAAGTACACAGGAGAAATCAAAAGCACAAGACACTAAAACGACACGAAAACACAAAAAACGAGCAAATGCGGCTAAATGGACTGGGAAAACCTAGAATAAAATAAAACAAACACAAATAAAATAAATAAAACACATGAAATAACAACAAAAACATACAAAAAAATTGAGTTTGGTGAAGCTCTGTGAGTAGAGCATGACTTTATGATTTTCTAGACATATATTGTGATATATGGTATATAATACTAACCACTAGAGCAAGTCGAGTGGACTGATAGCTCTATTGAGGGTTGAACAACATAAAGGCTTAAAGTCTGGAAAATATGAGGTCAATGAGATGAGGACAACAACAGGTCGAGTTAAGACTCTAGGATAGTCTGACAGAAACTCGACCCGAAACTGAAGAGGTTGATTGACGACCTTAGAGGTGGATATCGACTCAACAAAGACTAGAATAGTTATATATAGAGAGAACTGAGGTATTTTGCTTGATTATGTCGAGAACTACGACTTAATGAAGTAAAATAGTGTGAAAGCATTAGATAAGGGATGGTATGAAGATGATCGGATAAGAATAACACATGGATAACAGGATTGCTTGGCAACAAGATTGGGCAGTCCCAGGCACTCGGGCAGTATGTAAGATCGATTTGGCAGTCCAGACACTAGGACAACATGATAAGGAAGATCTTGGGCAACAATGAGTCTATATTACAGGTGAGGTATCATCATCATTCTCTTTCTGCTATCTGAATAATATTCTAAGTTATTATATGTAGAGCGTACATCAATTCCAAATACTGATTTAAGCGTCAGAGTTTCTACTTTAGGACAACATTCGACATTGTTTTGTAGGTTATTTCAACGGTTCAAAGAACGTCGGACCGGATCGAAGTTGTTTATACACATTATTACCAAATTGTTTTCCTAAATTATTCTAAATAATAAGGATGATAATTGAAGATGGGGAACGATGTGGACAGGTGGTGGTACCACTGCCACGCGACAGAAAGAGTACTACCACGTTTTAAATATTGTTGATGTGCGCGCGAGTGGCTATTCTTCCGACTTCCATCTCAAATTATTGTACTACCAACATTTTTGCTCACTTATTTTTAAAATTTGGACAAATAATTAAAATTTCTTCGTGTCAATACGTAGGTGGTGTAGCCTATAAAAGGAGACGAGGGCTTTCCTCTGCACTTCACACCCCAATAGCCACATACCAATACATATATCTCTTATCTATCCATCTGTCAAATATCATAGAGAAGAGAATGAGGAGCACTCATCATTTGATCTCCCTCGCCTGCTTCCTCGTTGTCTCGTTGGCTGCTGCCCAAGCTCCGCCACGCGCCCCGATCCTTGACACCTCCGGACAAGAGCTGCTCACGGGAGTCCAATACCGCATCCGGTCCCCCTTATGGGGCGACGAGGAAGGCGACATCAACGTGGACCGCAACTCCTCCTGCCCTCTTGACCTCGTCCTGGCCCGAAGAGTATTTGCCGGGCCGGGCCTCCCCGTTACCTTCCACCTGCCCCACGAGTCGGTAGCCGTGCGCCCCGTCCTCACCTTGACCGAGGTCAGCATCCAGTTCTCAACCGCCTCCACCGACACAGCATGCAACGACGGCGGCGTCTGGACGGTCCGCTTCCAAACGATCCTCCAGGGCTTCGGCGTCACGACGGGGGGCAGCCTGGGGGCCGCGAACAGCCTGTTCACGATCGAGCCGGCCGGGAGAGACCATAGGATCAGGTACTGTCCCAGGATTGACAGCCCCGGCGTGTGTGGGGCCCTGACCACCTCATTTCAAGGCCGCCTGAGCGTGACCCTGTCCGAGGAGGAGGCGGGGTCATTGCATGTGGTCTTCGAGAGAGTTGAAGCTGATGACATCGCCATGATTAAGATGAGTACAGACAATTAATATCAGGCGGGCGATCGCTGAAATAAATTAAACTGGATGGTGGCCAGCATTA